TAAGCGTATGTTACTATCTTGCAGATTAAGAACCTTAGAAGATCGAGAAAATGTCGTTTTCTAACATGCAGATGATATCCAATCTCATTATCTCAATCACTATCGGGTACTTCCGCTAGTTCAGTTATAAAGATAGAGACATTTAAGTAGTAATAAAGTTTGTATTCTATATCTTCAATCAGTCATTTGTTCATAAAGCGAAGCAGAATATTCCTTATTCGAGATGAATTGATTAGATGATATTAAATCTTTAGTTTTACATGAATCTAAAATTAATTTTTTTTTAATCAACTTATTTTTTCTTAATATTGACTCGGGAGCTAGTGTAATAAGCTGTGGAACTGATCTAATAATAATATTTTTACTATATAATAACTTTCATCTTTTTGTTCAAAGTTGCATAGAGATGCACTTTAAAGATGATATTCTCTGTTTAACTTTCAACAAAAACATACTATGCATTCAATCGTACAGAGATAAGATTGTTCAGGATTCTCAGTCTTCATCATACATATGAGATAATAAAACAAGACTAGTATTTATTGGAGCAAGAAGAAATCAATTTTTGAGCAATTTTATAATAATAGATGTGCAATAATTAATTCATTAGATAGCAGTAGTATTTTCATATTTTAGCAAGAAGAAAAAGAAAAAGTAAGATATTTTTATTTACAACTGACAATAAAAAAAAATGAAATATTAATATATTATTGTGTCAATAAAGATTTTTCTGTTTCAGTCAGTGGTTGTGTTTGATCCATTTATATAAATTGTATATTTTATTTTATAAGATTGAACAAAAAGGTACTTTAATAAATATATTCTTAACATAAGAGTTTTCCTACTCACTGTCTTAGAACTGTCCTATAAATCAACTTGAAAATTTGCTTATGATTATCTTATATTATACATGGAATTTTTCCAACACTTTTGATATTTACATAATATATATTAATATTCTTTGTTACGAAAGATCAGATATTAAATTCGATTACTTTCTTAACCTAATTGTTTTTTCTTATATACCACGTTTCAAGTATCTATGACATAAATCGAACTCACGCAAACACATAACAGTAAAAATCATACATTTTACATAAATCAATTTGTAATGCTGTTTTTATGTGAAATTTATCTTTAATTTAAATAAACTATTGCTCATTCAATATAATTATTGCTCATTTTAATTATTTTATTGCTCAAGTGAATATAAGACATAAAATAACAGTCATGTAGAATAATATCATTTAGAATTACTTGCAAGTATATTCTCAATTGTGCAGTACTTTAAATTTTCTATATACACCTATCTCATTAACAAATCAACAGTAAGTCTTACGGTCGTATACCACACTGTGCATAGTTGTATATATTGCAAAGTACACATGTATACGGCCGTATACTTGACCTTAGAATTACGAACGCGCATTGTCGTGTCGTATACGACGAATTTTGCCAGCGTAATCACATAGTATTTTTCTAAACGAAGATGGAGGAGGCAACTTTACCTTACCCTTCCTCTCCTAAACAAAAAACCTATAAATTTAAATGAACAACTTATTTGTTTTACTTAGATTTTTCGCAACGATTGATCTAATTGTAGGTATTTGTTTCAAAAATTCAAGAATGTATTTTTTATAAGAATATATTGTTGAATATTTTAAAATTTATACAATTTAATCTATCATTGCAAGGCATCTAAAAAAAATTATTTATCTCAATAAGTCTTCACGCTAGAACTCGTTTCGATATAAATCTATAGAAAAAAATTGTTTATTCAAATAGATATTCACTCTAGAATTTATTGAGATAAACCTGAAAAAAAGATTACGTATTTGTGTATTTGAATAAATATTTTTTTCATTAATTAATTTATTTATTCAAATACATACTTTGAGACTTGTTGTGGAGTCAAATCTAAATAAAAAAATTACGGTGTAGTTTTTCAAATAAAATTCTTACAAAGTAAGTCTTGATCGAGATGGGCATCTCAAATCACAAATAATTTATGACCGTGCTTTTTCGTACTGAGCAGATACGTGTTTCCATGCAATGTTTGGAAAATATCGTTTAGAACTTCTTAACCAACACAAACGTTATAAAAGTTAATCTATTTGACAATTGAGATGTATGTTTCTGAATAGAAAAAATTGGGAGCTTTGTCAGTATTTTATCATAACAAGAGAGGTTGAATATTTTTTAACACACATGTTCTGGTAGAGTTTGACAAGTTCTATCTAAACATGTATAAAAATCTCAAAAAATAATTTGCTCGATTACTGAATTACTAACACCTTATGTATATGATGAATGTTTTCTTCTTCGTTATTTTAGATTAGCAACTATCGTGATGGTAAAATCGTATAATATGCACATTTCTATAAGATAGAGTTCATTGTCTGGTCATGAACTCAGAGTTATTTTCTTAGTTTTTTTTTCTTTTTTTTTCTCACAAAGCTCTTTTGGGTTTTGTCTTTCAGCTATTAGTACCTTTTCGAGTCAGATATTTTCAACACAATAAACTCGTCATAGACCGTGGTTTTTAGTGATTTATTTCATCTTTTGTTTTGAAAAAATTTGTAGATAAAATAATGTCATCTTTTTATCGATTTATTAACTGGTCTGAAAGAAAACAGTTCTGGTCAATTGTACTATGTCAAATTACACTTGTTGCAGTTAGTTGGTATTATATTGAAACAATTCAATCAAACAACGAATGCTCTGAAATTTTAAGACGAGATTATAATTGTCTTTCACCGTATATCAATGTGCCGGATAATTGTACGTGGTGGACCATCTTTTGGTTTCGAGTAAATCGTTATACAGTTTATACAGTTGTACTTTTTTTTAATGTTTTGAATGAGTATAAAATATCGTCATATCATATGTTCATGTATATGTATATTGAGGTAGGTTTAATATTTAATGCTGATCGAAGCAACCGACAAAGTAATATTTTTTATCGTGATGGACCACTTTTATTGTGTGTATTATTAATGATTCTATACCTTGAAAAGAAACCTTTTTGTGATATGAAAGCAATGGTACGAAGCATTGATATTAAAATTGTGAACGATGAACGATTATCCGCACTAGAGGAAGCAAATAGTCAATGTTGGAGCGAAGCCATTGGTAAAATTAGACAATGTGATAGTATTGACAAAATTAAACAAATCACTCAATAAACCGATGAACAAATAGAAAAGAATATTTTGACATATGAATTTTTAGATAATCCAATGTTTCCTCGACCAGAGCAGAAGAAAAGCAGCATCTTCTTAAATATGTTTATTCATGGATTTTCATTTTTTTTATGTGCATTGGCTATTTGGAATTATATATTGTTAATTTACTAAGAATTTTTTGGTTCATTTAATCGGGGAAAGAATACGCTTATCTTGAAAATAAGTTTTCCCATTGTTGTTAATTGTTTTGTTTGATATAGTCGTTTTCAATGTTAGCATATCGGCTATTCTCATGTAAACATTTTCATGTATAAATAACCATTATATCAAATAAAATTGTCTTGAAAAAAAAACAATTTCTCTTTTAAAAAGGCTGTATACAGCGAAAAACTGAATTGTCTTATGTTTTGAAAACTAAAGAGAAAACATTCCCAAGTGTTAGAGAACTTGTCTCTTTGGATGTAAAACATTTTTACTGGTGAAACTATAAGAGTCATCTTATAAAGGAAAAATCGCTGTCTCATGAGGGAAGTCCACCGATTGTTCAATAGTTTTTAAGCCAAGATCAGGTGCATTGAATATTCAATGAGTTCTTGCAATAAAAAAACTCTCAAAGGCCTCAAAAGTTACGTATTTCTTTTGAAGAATTACTTTGCATACAATCTGACCCAGGTCAATCACGCTCGGCAGTAAACGACCGTTCACTAACCAAATACGGCGAAAAACGGCACCTGTTTACGTTAGTCACATACGGCACCAGTAAACGACGATTTACAGCATATTACGGCAATCGTACACAGTGCCCGTAAAATTTCATCGTAAACTACTACCGTAACAATCCGGTGACTGTATACTGTGGTCGGAAAATAATGTAAAGCATCGTATACGTCAGCCGTTTCCGGTGTTCATTTACAGTAGTCGTATAAGATGCTTTACGGCATTCTACGGCGATCGTAAACATTGACCGTATAATATCATCGGAAACGACTAGCGTGGCAAAACGGCGACTGTACACGCTGATATTATTAAATGCCGTAAAACACAGTATATGGGAGTAGTATACGGTAGTCGCTTACGACGATGGTAAATGACATTTTATGATGATTTGCGGCCGATGTAAACTATTGCCATAAGCAGTCACCGTGTACGACTACTATAACAATATGCCGACTGTATACGTTCATCGTGTAATATCGCGATGTACCGTCTTTATTTATTGTAACTCGTTCGATATAGAATCACTATCTGTTATTGTATTTCATCGGAAGCGATCCTTAATGTCAGTGAATTTCTATTATTGAATATCAATAACATACTCTCATGATGAAGTACTTAGGGTATACCAAAAGTTCTGATCACAGTTTTTAAAATTTAATAAAGCAATAAATATTGAATATTTTACTAAGGCAATATATAGTATAACGTCTCGTCTTTAATAATATATAGA